AATATGTGGTGACCTTCTATATCTCTTCTGATGGATTCTGGCTTAAAGTCTGTTTTGTCAGTTAAGAGTCTAGTTACTCCTGCTTGCTCTTGGATTCTATTTCCGTAAAGCATCATTTTCTACCCTTTTACTTTCAGTCTGTATGACTCTGTCAATAAAGTGAACTTTTTTTTTTGGTACTGGGGATCAAACTCAGAACCTTGCACTTACAAGGCAGGCAGCAGAACCACTGAGCTAAATCCCCAGCCCTAAAGTGAACTTCTTGTAGAAAGAAAATTATTGGATCTTGTTTTTAAATCCAGATATCCAGTGAACATATTTTAATTGAAGAATTGATTACTTACATTCAGGGTTACTACTGAAAGATGTACATTAATTCCTGTTATTTTACGTTCTTCTAGATGTTTCCAATAATCTATATTCATTTCTTTCTGCCTTATATATTTTAAAGATTTGATGGTTTACTGAATTAATAATGTTTTATTCTTTCCTAATTTTTATTTGCTTATCTACTCTTCTAGGGAGATTTATTCTATTCTGTGCTGTTACGATTGTGTTTATTTTGCTTTCTTTTCCATGTGCAGGATTTAAGTATCTTCTGAAATGCTCGTTTAATGGTCATCAATTGTATTAGCTTATGCTTATTTTGGAAGGCCTTTATATCTCCTTCAATTTTGAAAGATAACTTTTATGGTTGTACTAATCTAGGTTGGCATTTATTTTCTTCAAGTTTCAAAATACATCATGTCATACTTTTCTGGTCTTTAGAGTTTCTGGTGAGAAACCTGATGTTATTCTGATGGGTTTGGTTTTTAAATTTTTATTAGTAGTAGTCCATGTTTGCAGTACATAGTAATTGCATTTATCATGGGGAGTTGAGTTGGTGCATGTACCTAACACATCTTTTATAGTCTTTCCTTCCCTCCCTTCATGTGTTTATAATTGACTTGAAGCTTCTTTCTTGCAGCTTTCAGCATTTGTTCTTTGTCTTGTACTTTTGGAGTTTTAACTATCACATGATGTAGAGAAGTTATTTTGTGGTCATGCTTGTTTAGGCTTCGAAATACCTCTTATTTCACAATGTCTATATATTTCCCAAGATTTGGAAAATGTACATACCTGCAGCCTGTACCTTGGCCTCCTTGTCTAAGAAAAATTACTCATAGTCTTGGTTTGTTAATGATATCCATGGGTCTTGCATATTTTGTTCATAATTTATTTTTTCCTTTATTCCTCTGTAAATATATCAACATTTATTTCAAATTCTGATATTCTTTCTTACTCCTGAGCTAGTCTATTGATGAGGCTTTCAACTGAGTTGTTTGCCTTTTTAAGCTTTTCATCTCCAACATTTTTGCTTATTTTATTTTTCAGAATCTCTAAGTCTTTATCAAATTGCTCTTTCATATCCATTTGTATTTTCTTCCTTAATTCGTTCAGCTGTTTGTTTGTATCCTCTTGGAATTCATTGACCATTTTGACATCATCCTTCTGAATTCTTTGTCCAGCATTTCATCCACTTCAACATATTTGAACCAGTTACTAGAGAGCTTATGAACTTTTACAGGAGTCATGTTTTCTTGTTTTTTCATATTTCTTATATTTCTGTGTTGATATTTGTTCATCTGTTGGGATGAATATCTCTTCCACCTTTGAGGGCCTTCTTAAGGAATTTCTCTTGACAATGTGCCCTGGGCTATCAGTTTATTGTGTAGTGTTGGATTTATTTCCAAATGAACTCTGCAGTGTAGGTTCCCTACGGCTCTTCTCCCTGATATTAGTGGGTTTTGACACAGTTTGTAAACCTTCTCTGTAGGTCTTGCAAGAGTAGAGTCTCTCTAGTAGATGAGGCTAGTATGTTGGACACAATAAAGTATATGGGGCCACCCTTTGTGGTTACTTCTCCAGTCTTGCCTAATATGTGCAATATGCAAAGATATGGGAACAACCTATGCTAAGGTCCATTGTAGGTGCCATGTCCACATTAATTGTGTCTTTTTTCTCTTCTGTTGCTATGAGGATGAATGTTCAGTGAATGTTTGGTGCCCTATTCCCAGCTAGTTGAGGCCTACTTGGGGCCAGGTAAGCTAGGGGCTTATTTCCCTTGTTCCTTAAGATAATGTACTCACCAAGGTTTGAGCAGGACTAGGTCATGACTGGACTAAGGAGAAATTTCTCTCAATAGGGCTGGGGTTGTAGCTCAGCAGCAAAGCACCTACCCAACTCCACTCAGAAGAAAGAAAACAAACAACACTAACAACCACAACATTAAAAAAACCGCACATTCAAAAGTGTAGGAACAATTTATTGAAAAGAACCACCACCACAAGTTTAATAACAACACAAGTTTAATAACAATAGAAAAGGTAAAAAATATCATAGAAGAAAATGAAACGTTAAAAATGAATAAAAGCAAAATTAATATAAAGGGAAAATTCGACAGTGGAAGAAAAGAGAAAATTCTATTAAAATATTATTTTAAAAAGTAAAAGTAAGAAAAAGATAATGAGAAATTAAACAAAAACAACAGAAGATAGGGTAGATAATGGAAAAGAAAAACAAAGGGGAAAAAGGAGTCAGTGCCTCCTTGTTGAGGAGCTTGGATTGGAGACATTTCTTTATGCACTTGTGCACCTTACTCCAGAAGCCCTCAGTCTGCATGCCAGCTGGCACTGTCAACGTCTGGGTAACTGCCAGTGCACACTGAGGCTCTGACATTAGGTGGGCTATGATGGAGGGTTATGTATTCAGCCCAGAAGACTCCAAGTGCTGGACCCATGGGTGTGGCAAGGGTCCAAGCCAGAAAATATATTCAAGATGCCTCAGAGTAAGTGTGGCAAGCTATCAAGCCACCAAGTTCAAGGGGTCCAGGAGAGCACAGCAATTTGCCACCCTCCATCTCATCATTCTCAAACCCAACTCCCTCACAACACCCCACACAACTGGTCTTACTTTTCTGTATCTTCTGTGCTCTGTCAAAGACTGTGACCCTGCTGTTCAAATATCTCAGTGGGCTAGCGTTAGTCCCCACAACGACAGTTACCTTGCTTGACCTTTTCTACCCAGTCAGTGTGATAGGAATCCCCAGGGATGCTGAAGTGTGATTTCTTTGTGGATTCTGTTACCCACAGCTACTGGGTCTCTAACAATAGGACCCTTCCCAAGCTGGTTCCTGGTTATAGCACTCAGAGTTTGCTGAGTTGATACAATGAATTTCTTCTCTAAAGCTAGCTTCTTATGCAGGAGGAGTCACTTTCAGACCAAATCTCAAACTGGACTTAAAGTTAGTAAGAAAAAGATTCCTTCTCAAATTAGGATGTTGGGTCTGCAGTTATTAGTGGATTTGATTTTGTTCCCCAGCTTGCCTTATGCTTGCAGCTTCTAGTTTTGCTCTTCCTTCCAAAGAGCACTTAAGACTGCACTTATCTCTGCTTTGCCTTTCTGATTCTCCATGCTGTCTAAATTTCCAGTCACTTCTTTGTTGATTCCCAGAGTTTTTACTCACTTTCTGTACTTGGAATATAAATTTCTCTTTTGTTGCCTTGACTCTTCTGTTTCATGGTAATGTGAAGGATATTTCTACTCTGACATCTTGCCTACCTCTCAGAAAAATCCTATTTTATCCAAATAATTTTGTATAAAAACAACCATAGAATCTATCTCCAGGTGGCTATAGTAGAGATTTTTCTCTATTTCCTCTGTTAGAAAGGTACACTAAAGAGTTGATTACCTAAATCAATCATAGAGTGAGACAGGTGGGAGGTGAGTGAGATTTTAATTAATCTTGGACTAATTCTACCTTATTTATATTATATTGCTTAGATTCAAGCCTGGCATACTTTCAATTAGGAGTGTACATGGTGATGTGTCCTCAGGCTTGAAAGAGTATCTCTACCATCCAAAGACTCACAGTCTAGCTCCCCAGTGCCTCGCAGAATGCAAATTCAAAATCAAGTAGGTGTCCTAATGAGAGAAACTGTATATAGTTGAACAAGCTCCTACTTACTATGTCTTGTGTCCAACATATAACATGATTTTAGGTAAATATGCCTTTTAGGAATTTCAGAACTTTTATCTACCTCCCACAAAGCCCTTAAATTTGGAAAATGTGTCTTTGAGAAAAAAGCCAGTGAATTGAAGCCTCCTAAATGTCTAATTTACAATATATCCTGTATAGTAATAAAGAGGATTGCAGGGGGTCCCCTCTGTCTTTCTCTTCTCTGACTTCCCCAAAACTTACCCTCAATTCCCATCCAGCATCAGCAAGTGCTCCAGAGGAAAGACTATCAACATTCAACTCATTTCAGAATTGTTTTCTATGTTTGAAATTGTGAAGGGCTCAAAGACATGGAATTCAGGACTATGAGAGTAAGATGTTTGGTAGTTGTGCTGTATTTCTGAGGCAGTCAGTACTGTTGCTTCTGGGAGTTACTAAATAGAAATCATCATCATCACCATCATCATCATCATCATCATCATCATCATCATCATCATCAATCAGACTGAAAGCTCCTGCTGCCACCAAGGTCAAAGCTGTTACTGAGATGAGGCTGACATGAACTTCAACTACATATTCTCAGGTTTCCAGTTTCCTTCTAGCTCTTGTATGGACACAAACTACTAGGGAAGACTGGCAAAGAAGAAATTCTATTTGTAAGCTCCCTCTTCCACTTGGTGAGGTAGAGTAAAAAGAGGAAGATGGTTTGAAATTGAGAAACACCAAATTAAAATACGGTCACACATGCACACACACACGCACAATCCACGACTGGCCTTTGCTCAGAAAACATAAAGAGACGAATTCCATAAAAACAAACCAGTACAATCCTAAAATAATGAAAGGTGGGAATATGCTAGGAATTGCCTTTATTTAATGGTGAATGTTTGTGATCCTGGAACATAATAGATCTCCACAACTTTCTGTGAGTAAGTATTTGAGATACATACAATAACATTTCTACAGCCAGGAAAATACATTGGAAATTCCTTTAAGATTTGGGATTATTTTCTGAAATTGTAAAATTTAGCTCTTCTGTTTCAAGTGAAGTTTAACCTTGAACCCTCCTGTCTGAACTGAAGTTTAATCATTATGTTTTTTCTGGGGTGAAGACTGAACATTGCGCTATTGTTCAGGTTAAGTTGCAAAATTTTGCTTTGGCTTATTAATTGCTTTTTTGTTCTTCCATAAAATTCCTAACAAGCAGAGAAGCAAAGCAATTAAGAAAATGAAAAACAATAGAATCCAGTAATTCTTGCGTCTCTTGGGAGGAAGAATAGGAGGTGGAACAGGAGGCGGACCACTATCAACACTACCTCCATAGCCTTCTATCATGCAGTCAGGTGGGGCCCACCCATAATCACAATGGCAGTGATTTTTATTGTTGCAGATCCCTGACCTATTGCAGGTCTCAAGTGAACAATCACTTGTCCAAAGTGGCATAGGAACACACCTCCTGTTGATGCACACAGTTTTGTTACCACATTCTGTGCCATCTTTCACATCACCAATATCAGGGATGGTCATCCCAACATGGTAGTCACTACCCCGGCAGATATTATCTCTGATCTGAACACAATGTAAAGTCCTATGATTACTCAAAGAAGGAATTTCTGTCACATTCTCACACTGAACTCTCCCACAGAGGATGTCATTGGCATTACATCTTACATATGAACCTCTGCTAATGCCACAATTACCAAAACAGTCACCTCGGTTGTTTATTTCCCTGTAACAAGTCAGATTTGCACTCCTGGATTCCTTTCCAAAAATTTGCTTACACTGTTCATCACGGCTGGCACATATTTTTTCATAGCAGTGGCCATTGCCCATGCAAGACATTCCATTTTGTACATACACATCTTTTGGACATTCGTGTGAAGTTCCATTGCACCACTCAGGAAGATCACATTCACCACTCTTTTCTCGACACACACTGCCTGGTGGCATAAATGTGCAATTTTTGCAACAAAGCCCAACATTGAGCTCCAGATATTAGAGTGCAGTTTGTCAAACAGCATGGATCTTCTGTACACAATTGTAAGGATCCACAGTCACACTCCTCTCCTTGTTCCACCAAACCATTCCCACAGTGTACTGATAGTGGTCCCGATGGAAGTAAGTTCACTGGTACTGGTATATCATGCATACACCTTGATGATTTACTGGTTGACCAGAGGAAACCATAACTGCAATTTCTGAATTTGTTGGAATTATTGTCCACTTCAGCCATGACACATACTCTCTGCTCATATTTACATGGTTGAACTTGTTCATCATGCATCATACCCAAATTATGTCCTATCTCATGGGCCAAAGTATGGGCAATTGACTTCACATTCCTTCCAACGACTCTGTCAACTCCACAGTTATAATAGTTATTACACATAACTCCCACATAAGCTAAGCCAAGAAACCCACCATAATATTGGTGTGAAAGGAGATGTCCAATATCATTTTTTATGCGAGCATTAAAGTGCTGTGACTTCCACTTGCAAAAGTCTCCCAGGACCTGAACCATGTCATTATTTATTGTCACAAGGTCATCCTGATCCCAGATATCAAGTCCAGTTAGAACCCCGTCAACATCCAGTCCATTTAAAAGAAGTTTCATTTCATTAAGAATGTTTAAAACGTCTTTTATCACATTTGAGTTATTTCTTTCTAGAAAAACAAATTGTCTATTGTCTATCACCAATCCTAGATCAATAAGCAATCTGTGGGTCCACCAGCCCTGATATCCACTTTGCATCCGAATAGAATTATCACTCTTTTGAAGCTTCAACTGCTGTGCTATTTCTTCATCTGATAATGCACATCTCATGGGTGGGGATTGTGTCTCCTCACTGGTCATTTTATAAACCAGATGTTCAAATGTCACAGAAGGCTTTTGGGCTTGATTTCATAAGCAACGTCATTTATCTGTAGTGTTCCATGAAAGCTCCCAGAACAAGTATTAAGAGCAACCAGGGATTCTGGGTCACTTTCCACATACCCATGATAGTAGCAGTCATCTGGGACAAAGGGATGATCCTCAAGAAGAGCACCCTGGTCAGTGTAACTGAACACAGGGAGCTGTCTGGACACCAAAAGCTTCTTGGCCTTCATGTGGACGATGTGTCTCTGACCTCCAAAGTGCAGGCTGTAGGAGAGCCAGCCTCGAGCACTCATGCCTCTACCAGTGCCAGTGACCCTTAAAGGAATCACCACTTCTGGGGGACTGGAGTATTGGGAGTGTCCAGTCTGGAGCCATCCAGAAAGGAAAAGAAATATGCCCAGCCAGAGCCACAGGAGAGTGATCCTCACGTGCACCAGGGCCTCACCCACAGCCATCACGAGTTATGAGTGAGAGCAAAGTGGGGCAGGGCAGAAGCCCTGTTGGTCTTTCCTCCCCTTTGACTCGGTTGCATGTGGCACTGGCCTTTTATGGTCTGCCTGTTGGAAGAGTCAATCGATCAAAGCAGCAGAATTGAAAGATAAATAAATAAATAATACATACATACATGCATGAACACATACACACATACATACATATATACATGCATACAAGGGCAGACACTTATTTTGTTACCAGCAGACCAGGATGGAAGAGAAAGAGCAGGGCATGGGTTGAAATGGATTAGTGTTTGGCTCAAGACATGACTCCATACAGTGTACTAGATTTGCTCTTTAGTATTGGTAGAGGCAGAGCAGACTGTGGGTGTGCAGATAGATGACAACTAGTCACAGGTTGATAACTACTGAACCCAGATGAAGAGCACAAGGGTTCATTGCACTATTCTTTATGTATATATACTTGTGTGAACATTTCCACAATAAATACTTAAAACAAAAGTGAGCATGTATCTTGATTTGGAAAAGTGGCCATGTATCTTGATTTGATAAGGGAATCTTGACTCACATGTATTGATTTAAAATAAATATCAATTGTTCTTCCTATTTCAAATGATAAAGTAATCACATTACTCAGTAGAGATATGTAAGAAATTATTCATATGTACTATTTTTTTCTCATGGTCTTTAATAGGTACTTCTGTCCAACAAATCATTACTCGTCATATATTCCTCCAGTCTTGTCAAACTGCAAAAGTCAATGCATCAACTGTGCTTTAAAAGTATTAGAATCTATATTGGATATCTTTGTTCAGTAAAATAATAAAGAATGGTAGAATTATACTGGTGGATATCACTCAGAGGTGTTTATGTATGATTATACTCATAAGAAAAATAACATTATATCGGGTGCTATGGCCATGCCTGTAATCACAGCTGCTCAGGAGGAGAAGGCAGAAGTTTTGGGAAATTGAAGCCAGCCTGGGCAACTTAGTGAGATCTTGTCTTAAACTAAAGTAAAAGAGGCTGGAAATGTAGCTCAAAGATAGAATGCTTGTTTAACCTAAGCCAGAACCTGGGTTCAGTCCCCAGGACTGCAAAAATAAAGAATGAATAAATAAATAAACATATTTCAAAGTCTATGGACATATAAAATGAATAAGAAATCAAATTAGCTGAAAAAGTAGCAGTTGGAGAATTCTGAAGAAAAACTAAAGTACATTTGATAATGAAAAGGAAATCAATAAACCTTAAAAGGAGGAGGGATACTATTAAGAAAGATAATGTACTGAAAAATATAAAAGTCTCTGACATTTTATGATTCTAAGGCACTAGCCCCTAAAATCAACCTTCAAATGGATTTATCTCTGAATTTAAAAATACATATCTCATATGAAAATACAAATATAAGACATTATCTTAATAATACAAATATATGGACTATATTTTTGAAAATGAGAAATCTGGTACCAGCATAGTGCCAAAGTCACAGTGCTCATTTGTTGCTTTGTCCTTGAGTAAAACATTAGTGAAATTCCATAATGTGCAGATACTATACTACATGCTAGGGAAACATAAATGGAGAATATAGGTCTAAATAAGTTAATGATCTGGAACACTTTAGGATGAAAACATACTTTAAGAATCTGTAAAATTGCATTTAATATTTTACATATAAATGCCTAGTTTTTACTGACCTAGTGAGAGTATCTTTAGTGTTTACAAAATCATTAAAATAATGAGATCACTAAAGCAATGAGATTAAGCACTGCTAGAGTAGTTGAGGGTGGGGAAACAACCAAGGAAAGTAAATCCATGATGAGGGATCTAAAACACAATGAACCAATGCCACTTGTAGGGAGTCCAAAATTGAAAGATGCCAGACTCAGCACCCATCATCTCCTGCATCCAGTATCCATTTCTCCTTAAGTTTTCCATTTATTTTCATTTTAAGTTCTTTGACCTCTTCTTTCTACAGTTATTTTCCTGTTACTTATGAAATCTTCCTTTCATAGAAAACAGCAACAATCTCTCCTCTGTTAATGCTTCCTTATGGAGAATTCCCATTTCCCACTTAATTTTATGAAAGTGTGTATCTCAACAATATGAAGCCCAGGCATTTTTAATTCTCAGAATTTTCATCTCTGGGATATTTGATCACAGTTTGATTTGGTTGCCAAAGCCACTCTGAAACTACTAAAATAGCATCCATTTTATTAGACCATTATTTACCTTTCTTATTCTTTTTTTTTTTTTGGTACTGGGGACTGAACTCAGGACCTTGCGCTTGGGAGGCAGGAGGCAGAACCATTGAGCTAAATCCCCGCCCCTACCTTTTGTATTCTTTTCAAACTCTCAATTCATCTTGCATGAACTCCAAAGAATAGGATGTCTACTACTTTCTTCTCCACCAATAATTTTATCGATACTCTCACTGTGTTTGGCAAACATGTGAACAATCCATACAGCATCAGATGTTTGGTTTTTGTTGTTACCACTCATCTTTAATGACCATTAACCATCACCCTTTAGCCATGTCCTGTTATCATCTTTGGCAACTCATGCAAGAACATATTAGTCAACCACAATTTTTATTTATTATTAAAAATATTCTTCAAGTTCATAGAGGACTCACAAAAGTCTTCTTTCCATGTTTTCCTCCTTCCAAATTTCCTTCACCATGCCTGCCATCCTTATAGCCTGGCTCTAGATTCTGTCAGTTCAACCACTGATGCTCCACCCTATCTAGATTAATGCTTTTGCCTGCTTTTTGCCCTCTTGCAACATGCTGCAAACACTGCAGGAAAAATAAATTATAGAGTCTATTTAAGCAAGGGGTAAAAGAGGGAATGCACAAAAGAGCATAGGACAGCCTGACATTTAAGCTTCAAGGCTGAAGTAATGAACAGATTTTTGTAACAAACACTCCCGTGCTTTTAATAATTTGTGCCATATAGCCTACATTGTTTCTTGGCTTGCTCTCTTTTCTTTTCTTCTCTCTCTCTCTCTCTCTTTCTTTCTTTCTTTCCTTCTTTCCTTCTTTCTTCTTGGTTTTTTGAGACAGGGTCTCACTATATAGTTCAGGCTGAGCTCAAACTCACCATGTAGTCCAAGGTGGCCTCGAACTTACGGTATTCCTCCTGCCTTAGCCTGGGACTATAGGCATCTGCCACCATGCCTAGCTTGCCCACATCACTTCTTAACTTTCTGATTTTCCAAATTTGCCCACCAATATATAACCCCCTCAACTGAAAATCGACATTCTTTACTTTCACAAGTTGTTCTTAGTATCAAATTTCAATAATCGTAGTTTAATTAGTAAAATGAAGAAATAAATCTTCATTTAATGACTGTTTAATACAGAACCAGCTAGTTCCTTAGTTTTGGGTTTGTCATTGCACACAGTAGCACAGGGCTCATTTCAGACTTACCATTTTCTTCATTGTTACTGTGACAAGAGTACCCTGATTCCTTGGACCAGGTAATCAAGTCAAATAAAGAAGAGGCTTACTTCACAAAATGCCAAGAGCCCACAGAAGAATGTGAGCAACATCATTAAAAGAAAACTTTGAGGACAATACTTCTGAATTTTCAGTAAAATTCTGATATTCTGATTTGCTCTCCTTGTATTCCTTGATATATACTTGGTAATTATTATGGAGTGTGGATTTTTGTTGGAAAAGGATTATTGTTTAATGAGGTAGCACAATTGAGAGCAAACTTAACCAAAAAAATCTGTCTGAATTTATTCCTAAAACTTCATCTTAGAAGGAGATAATAGGAAAACAAATTTGAAAGAATAATTGAGCCAGACTGTCTTTGCACTCATTACATTATTTTATACAGTGCTCCAAAGCCACAGCTCCTCAAAGAATACATTTTCATTCACAAAGTGGTGGGTGTAGTGCCATAATAGTACAGATCCCTCAAAATTGAATGTTACAGACCATCTTTTATAAATTTTTTTCTCCTCATAGCTTCATCAAATTTATCAATCTCATAGCCTAATTAACAGCTAACTCTCGCTGTCATTTATAATCCAATTCACTTTTTCAAACAATGAATGACAACATATTAAAAACAGTTTGGAGGCTTTCAACCAAATAAATATGAAATAATAAAGGCCACAATTCCTCTTAAGGTCTGAACACTTGGTAAAGAATTATGCAGGGTGTGTGTGTGTGTGTGTGTGTGTGTGTGTGTGTGTGTGTGTGTGTACACATTCACATATGCATAGAAAGTCTTTCTCTCCCTTAAAGATAAACTCTTGAATGACTTACAATAGATGAAGCACTGATTCCCATGATCCTTTTTAATGAGAGTCCTCTTCATGACTTAACTTGCAGCAGCCATCTCATGAACAAAGATTTTTAAATGAGACCTCACATGACAAAGAGAAATGGAAATTCCTTCTTTCAATTGACTCTCATTTGTTTGAATTCTAGATTTGGCTGCCTAGCAACAAGAGCCTCACAGTCTACATACAGAACATGGCAACTGGCTAGGATTCATTCCCACCCTGACTCCATCTTCTCACCCAAACTTATTTCTACTTCCTTAGTATGAATAATTTGACTTTCATTCAGTTTGCTCTAAAACTGTTCAACATGAATAAATTTCCTTACTCTTATTCTCTATTTTCCTCATATACTATGTGATCATTTTATCTTTTATATTTTTGCTCACACTGCTATCCCAGTCCCAGTTTATTTTTTCAATATCAAACCATGTTATGGAATACTCAAAGTACTTCAAGATCCAGAAAAAAAATTTTAAGCCCCTTTAAAGCATTCTCTAAAGAGTCCCAGACATTACTAACCATCTGTATAGACATTTAGATCTGCCTGTAAATGCACTTTATCCATATGGAAAATTGTTACTCATAAGAAAAGACAAAAACAGATTTTATATGAAGAGATAGATGAAATAAAAATAGTACATGAATAAATTTCATAGGTAAATTGACAAGCTGGTAGTTTAAAGAATGCCAATCTAAGAAC